TGAGACATAAATTCATATGGATATTGTTAAAAAGTGAATGTTGCCCCTATATTGCTGTGCTGCTGTGTCCCAGTTTCATGATCTGCACTTAGCAGAAAATTTCTAAGTAGGTGGGGTTACCTTAAGATCAGACACTTCTAAATGTTTATGTGGCGACAATTGTGACACGGGATATTCTCTGAGGACAGCTCTCTGACACTTTGTTATCTGGAATAATTTATTTTATTCCAATATAATAGCTGATCGTTTCTAATGTAACAATAACTGTGGCTTCCTTTTGAAGGAGTGCGAATGGAGAATTGCCTTCTCTAAAACACAAGTGTCGCCACATGGGATATATTACGAGCACTTCACCCAACTAATAGCAGTAGTCGGACAAGGGATTGAGAGTGATCTCCCTTCGCCCCAGTCAATATTGGATTCCACTCGTCTCATCATTATGGCTTTACAGGAGTCGACCTCACTGCTTGTCCTTTGGCCCGTTGTCTTCAGTTATTGCAGAAGGCATGCTTTTATACATAGGCCGAGGCCAGGCGCAAGTAGAAAGCCTATACTGACACCTACTCGTATGCAAGAGTAGATTGATGTATATATATATGACGTAATATTCGTATCTTGCATTCTACAAAAATACCTAAATAATACAAGGGGTCTGAATTCTACCCCTGTACGTCCACATCAGCGTTTTCAAAATGGGACGGTCAATAGGATTTCTCTGACCGTGAGTGTGTGGGAGGCTAGGATTTTTTCAGAAAATAAATATATTGTCTCCGAAATTGATTGAAAACTAATTATGCTTCCATCTGTTGGATAAAAAGAACATGTCAGCCACCCAAAATACGTTGTTGCAAGGTGGAATTTTGAAAAAATGTTTTATTTAGGCTCATAATTTTAGGCTGATTTTGCATTTGTAGCTGAAAAATATCTAGTCTCCATACAAAATCCAAGGTCGCCCAATCCCCCTTCCAACAGAACATGAAATGGTCGGCCCCTTAGGCCTAGTATAGTAATAACCAATATGCTTGTCATTTATCTTTCTCTCCTATTAGCTATTTTCTGTGGTCGTCGTTTTTCCAGATTAGAAATCAAACCAAATAAGAACTGTCGCTGCACACGTTGGTATTTACCAGTACCATTTAACTTTTATTTTATCCCTGTAGGCTAGGGAATAATTCCCCAATCCCACTTGGATTATCAGAGATGGGCATTCTTACTAGCCTGCTAGCCCGTGTCAGTCTGTCGAATGTAAAAGGTATTGTGAAGGCTGGTATAATAGAGGGTCGTTATATGGTATTGCTATTCAGCCTAGCAAACGTTTAAGGTTAATGTCTACAAGGGATGATCCATATCAAAGTGAACAAAATTCACCCTGTTTCGAGTAATGGAGGCACGAAAAACAACCAGTTTCACCTGCACAATGTTTTCAAACTCATGTAGGCAACGTTTCAGTTGTAAGTTACAACTTAATCCCGGTGTTCAGACGAAATAAACCCGGCAGTTTCACCCTCGGCAATGCCATTAGGTTTGACCACGCCGGAAGCTGGCGATGAGCCTCGTTCTGACTCCTCGAACTCCGTAACGTAGTTACCGTTGCCGTTATCGACGTCCCTTCTGTTTTCAACAGAAAAACGATCGCTTTTGCTCCGCTGACCTCTACGTTTTGCTAACTGCTGTATCATTCCAAGTGTTTCTTCTTCCAAGATGAATACAAGGCTTCACATTCAAGGTATTTAAGATCACAATTATTCCACTTAACAGTATTAAGATGTTAAATTAGACGTGAAATTGGTCGTTGTTAGGCAGCTCTATCGGGACTGAAGATGGCAGCCGCCATTTGCAATTGTCTTAACTGAACATTTTAGAGTGTAAACTTGACATGTGGTGCTCAGATGAAACCTGTTCGTACATTATAGTGTCGGGCGATGTAGTACAGATGTAAGATAACCTGTATTACGTGAAAAGCAGCTGTTTGGCCCATTTTATTGGTTAAATGTCGTCTTGCAGCACAGCCTGTAACCCTACATACAGTTGGAGTTCGAGGTGTCAAAGGGCCGAGGCCGAGTGACATACTGTAGCTGTCAGAAGTCGTAAATTGTGATTTTTTGAACGTAGCCGTCGGCGTACATTTAACTGAGCCTAGCTTTCGTTTTTCTTTTTCAGCTCGGGAGGACATAATTCGCTGTTATGGCACTCCTGCGGCTGTGAGTTTGTGGCCGTCTCAGGATAAGGAGTCCGACTGTGTATGTATAATTTTACATGCCCACCCTGTAAATTCTTCCGTCTAGTATAGCTGATTTGTTGCACATTAAGTCTGCCCAGTCCCTTTAATAAACTGTGATTCGTTTTCTTTGCAAAAGTATCCCGTATTTCTGTCTGACCTGACTTCCTTTGTCCCTCCCTCCACCCCCTCGATGTGTAGCGTTCCCTGGCTGTGTCCCCTTCCCGTTGTCCCGACCCCCTGAGCGTCTTCACTCCGTTCTGGGCCCGCCCTGTCTACGGTGAGACGCTCCCCGCCCCCGTCACCATCAACCACGCTGATTACTATCCTGCCCCAAGTGACGATGATGACAGTGACTACTGGGTGTACGAGGACGAGGACGACCACAGCTTTGTGGATGACAGAGAGATTCATCCCTTTAGAAAGGCGCTGACGAGAGCGGCTGCCTTCTTTAGGAAGATCTTCTCTTAGACTCCTTTATCCTTTTAATGTCTGAATGTGTGCAAGTGAGTGAATGAATGAGCAGGTTTGTATGTATGTGTGCGTTTGTGTGAGAGTAAATATAAGATTGAATGAGCATGTGTGTGTGTGTGTGTGTGTGTGAGAGAGAGAGACAGAGACAGAGAGAGAGAGACTGAATGAATATGTATGTTGTGTGTGTGTATTGTGTGCGTGTAAGAGTAAATGAAAGATTGAATTATCATGTCTGTCTGTATGCATGCATGTGTGTATGTGTGTGTGAGTGTTTGTGTGTGAGTGTGAGAGAGTGAATGAGCATGTATGTATGATGTGTGTATGTATGTGTGAGAGGGAGAGTGTATATTGTGTATATATGTTAGAGATGAGAGCTGGAGTGAATAAACGAGCCTACATGTATGTGTGTATTAGAGAGAGAGAGAGAGAGAGACTACCATTCCAGCGTATTTTTGGCGTATTTTTAGGCTCCCAGTTTTGGCCCAACTTTCAGTTTCCTTTTGGCAAACCTCTTGGCTTATTAGCATGGCACAAGACCATACTTTCTATACAATTTTGGCCCGTTTTTGGATCTCCCTTGAGGCATATTACTTTCGACTTTCGGTCATCTGAATAAATGTTTCTGTAATGTATACACAAGTTGTTTGTTTTCTCTACAGTGTTTCTTCCTTACAGCTAATAATATCTGGGTGACAGCAGCATCGCAATATTGGCATCTGCCCAAATCCCAGGGTTTCCGAAGATGAGACATAAATTCATATGGATATTGTTAAAAAGTGAATGTTGCCCCTATATTGCTGTGCTGCTGTGTCCCAGTTTCATGATCTGCACTTAGCAGAAGATTTCTAAGTAGGTGGGGTTACCTTAAGATCAGACACTTCTAAATGTTTATGTGGCGACAATTGTGACACAGGATATTCTCTGAGGACAGCTCTCTGACACTTTGTTATCTGGAATAATTTTTTTATTCCAATATAATAGCTCATTGTTTCTAATGTAACAATAACTGTGGCTTCCTTTTAAAGGAGTGCGAATGGAGAATTGCCTTCTCTAAAACACAAGTGTCGCCACATGGGATATATTACGAGCACTTCACCCAACTAATAGCAGTAGTCGGACAAGGGGTTGAGAGTGATCTCCCTTCGCCCCAGTCAATATTGGATTCCACTCGTCTCATCATTATGGCTTTACAGGAGTCGACCTCACTGCTGGTCCTTTGGCCCGTGGTCTTCAGATATTGCAGAGGGCATGCTTTTATACATAGGCCGAGGCCAGGCGCAAGTAGAAAGCCTATACTGACACCTACTCGTATGCAAGAGTAGATTGATGTATATATATATGACGTAATATTCGTATCTTGCATTCTACAAAAATACCTAAATAATACAAGGGGTCTGAATTCTACCCCTGTACGTCCACATCAGCGTTTTCAAAATGGGACGGTCAATAGGATTTCTCTGACTGTGAGTGTGTGGGTGGCTAGGATTTTTTCAGAAAATAAATATATTGTCTCCGAAATTGATTGAAAACTAATTATGCTTCCATCTGTTGGACAAAAAGAACATGTCAGCCACCAAAAATACGTTGTTGCAAGGATGAATTTTGAAAAAATGTTTTATTTAGGCATATAATTTTAGCTGATTTTGCATTTGTAGCTGAAAAATATCTAGTCTCCATACAAAATCCAAGGTCGCCCACTCCCCCTTCCAACAGAACATGAAATGGTCGGCCCCTTAGGCCTAGTATAGTAATAACCAATATGCTTGTCATTTATCTTTCTCTCCTATTAGCTATTTTCTGTGGTCGTCGTTTTTCCAGATTAGAAATCAAACCAAATAAGAACTGTCGCTGCACACGTTGGTATTTACCAGTACCATTTAACTTTTATTTTATCCCTGTAGGCTAGGTAATAATTCCCCAATCCCACTTGGATTATCAGAGATGGGCATTCTTACTAGCCTGCTAGCCCGTGTCAGTCTGTCGAATGTAAAAGGTATTGTGAAGGCTGGTATAATAGAGGGTCGTTATATGGTATTGCTATTCGGCCTAGCAAACGTTTAAGGTTAATGTCTACAAGAGATGATCCATATCAAAGTGAACAAAATTCACCCTGTTTCGAGTAATGGAGGCACGAAAAACACCCAGTTTCACCTGCACAATGTTTTCAAACTGATGTAGGCAACGTTTCAGTTGTAAGTTACAACTTAATCCCGGTGTTCAGACGAAATAAACCCGGCAGTTTCACCCTCGGCAATGCAATTAGGCTTTACCACGCCGGAAGCTGACGATGAGCCTCGTTCTGACTCCTCGAACTCCGTAACGTAGTTACCGTTGCCGTTATCGACGTCCCTTCTGTTTTCAACAGAAAAACGATCGCTTTTGCTCCGCTGACCTCTACGTTTTGCTCACTGCTGTATCATTCCAAGTGTTTCTTCTTCCAAGATGAATACAAGGCTTCACATTCAAGGTATTTAAGATCACAATTATTCCACTTAACAGTATTAAGATGTTAAATTAGACGTGAAATTGGTCGTTGTTAGGCAGCTCTATCGGGACTGAAGATGGCAGCCGCCATTTGCAATTGTCTTAACTGAACATTTTAAAGTGTAAACTTGACATGTGGTGCTCAGATGAAACCTGTTCGTACATTATAGTGTCGGCCGATGTAGTACAGATGTAAGATAACCTGTATTACGTGAAAAGCAGCTGTTTGGCCCATTTTATTGGTTAAATGTCGTCTTGCAGCACAGCCTGTAACCCTACATACACTTGGAGTTCGATGTGTCAAAGGGCCGAGGCCGAGTGACATACTGTAGCTGTCAGAAGTCGTAAATTGTGGTTTTTTGAACGTAGCCGTCGGCGTACATTTAACTGAGCCTAGCTTTCGTTTTTCTTTTTCAGCTCGGGAGGACATAATTCGCTATTATGGCACTCCTGCGGCTGTGAGTTTGTGGCCGTCTCAGGATGAGGAGTCCGACTGTGTATGTATAATTTTACATGCCCACCCTGTAAATTCTTCCGTCTAGTATAGCTGATTTGTTGCACATTAAGTCTGCCCAGTCCCTTTAATAAACTGTGATTCGTTTTCTTTGCAAAAGTATCCCGTATTTCTGTCTTACCTGACTTCCTTTGTCCCTCCCTCCACCCCCTCGATGTGTAGCGTTCCCTGGCTGTGTCCCCTTCCCGTTGTCCCGACCCCCTGAGCGTCTTCACTCCGTTCTGGGCCCGCCCTGTCTACGGTGAGACGCTCCCCGCCCCCGTCACCATCAACCACGCTGATTACTATCCTGCCCCAAGTGACGATGATGACAGTGACTACTGGGTGTACGAGGACGAGGACGACCACAGCTTTGTGGATGACAGAGAGATTCATCCCTTTAGAAAGGCGCTGACGAGAGCGGCTGCCTTCTTTAGGAAGATCTTCTCTTAGACTCCTTTATCCTTTTAATGTCTGAATGTGTGCAAGTGAGTGAATGAATGAGCAGGTTTGTATGTATGTGTGCGTTTGTGTGAGAGTAAATATAAGATTGAATGAGCATGTGTGTGTGTGTGTGTGTGTGTGAGAGAGAGAGAGACAGAGACAGAGAGAGAGAGAGAGAGAGAGAGAGAGAGACTACCATTCCAGCGTATCTTTTGCGTATTATTAGGCTCACAGTTTTGGCCCAACTTTCAGTTTCCTTTTGGCAAACCTCTTGGCTTATTAGCATGGCACAAGACCATACTTTCTATACAATTTTGGCCCGTTTTTGGATCTCCCTTGAGGCATATTACTTTCGACTTTCGGTCATCTGAATAAATGTTTCTGTAATGTATACACAAGTTGTTTGTTTTCTCTACAGTGTTTCTTCCTTACAGCTAATAATATCTGGGTGACAGCAGCATCGCAATATTGGCATCTGCCCAAATCCCAGGGTTTCCGAAGATGAGACATAAATTCAGATGGATATTGTTAAAAAGTGAATGTTGCCCCTATATTGCTGTGCTGCTGTGTCCCAGTTTCATGATCTGCACTTAGCAGAAGAATTCTAAGTAGGTGGGGTTACCTTAAGATCAGACACTTCTAAATGTTTATGTGGCGACAATTGTGACACAGGATATTCTCTGAGGACAGCTCTCTGACACTTTGTTATCTGGAATACATTTTTTATTCCAATATAATAGCTCATTGTTTCTAATGTAACAATAACTGTGGCTTCCTTTTAAAGGAGTGCGAATGGAGAATTGCCTTCTCTAAAACACAAGTGTCGCCACATGGGATATATTACGAGCACTTCACCCAACTAATAGCAGTAGTCGGACAAGGGGTTGAGAGTGATCTCCCTTCGCCCCAGTCAATATTGGATTCCACTCGTCTCATCATTATGGCTTTACAGGAGTCGACCTCACTGCTGGTCCTTTGGCCCGTGGTCTTCAGATATTGCAGAGGGCATGCTTTTATACATAGGCCGAGGCCAGGCGCAAGTAGAAAGCCTATACTGACACCTACTCGTATGCAAGAGTAGATTGATGTATATATATATGACGTAATATTCGTATCTTGCATTCTACAAAAATACCTAAATAATACAAGGGGTCTGAATTCTACCCCTGTACGTCCACATCAGCGTTTTCAAAATGGGACGGTCAATAGGATTTCTCTGACTGTGAGTGTGTGGGTGGCTAGGATTTTTTCAGAAAATAAATATATTGTCTCCGAAATTGATTGAAAACTAATTATGCTTCCATCTGTTGGACAAAAAGAACATGTCAGCCACCAAAAATACGTTGTTGCAAGGATGAATTTTGAAAAAATGTTTTATTTAGGCATATAATTTTAGCTGATTTTGCATTTGTAGCTGAAAAATATCTAGTCTCCATACAAAATCCAAGGTCGCCCACTCCCCCTTCCAACAGAACATGAAATGGTCGGCCCCTTAGGCCTAGTATAGTAATAACCAATATGCTTGTCATTTATCTTTCTCTCCTATTAGCTATTTTCTGTGGTCGTCGTTTTTCCAGATTAGAAATCAAACCAAATAAGAACTGTCGCTGCACACGTTGGTATTTACCAGTACCATTTAACTTTTATTTTATCCCTGTAGGCTAGGTAATAATTCCCCAATCCCACTTGGATTATCAGAGATGGGCATTCTTACTAGCCTGCTAGCCCGTGTCAGTCTGTCGAATGTAAAAGGTATTGTGAAGGCTGGTATAATAGAGGGTCGTTATATGGTATTGCTATTCGGCCTAGCAAACGTTTAAGGTTAATGTCTACAAGAGATGATCCATATCAAAGTGAACAAAATTCACCCTGTTTCGAGTAATGGAGGCACGAAAAACACCCAGTTTCACCTGCACAATGTTTTCAAACTGATGTAGGCAACGTTTCAGTTGTAAGTTACAACTTAATCCCGGTGTTCAGACGAAATAAACCCGGCAGTTTCACCCTCGGCAATGCAATTAGGCTTTACCACGCCGGAAGCTGACGATGAGCCTCGTTCTGACTCCTCGAACTCCGTAACGTAGTTACCGTTGCCGTTATCGACGTCCCTTCTGTTTTCAACAGAAAAACGATCGCTTTTGCTCCGCTGACCTCTACGTTTTGCTCACTGCTGTATCATTCCAAGTGTTTCTTCTTCCAAGATGAATACAAGGCTTCACATTCAAGGTATTTAAGATCACAATTATTCCACTTAACAGTATTAAGATGTTAAATTAGACGTGAAATTGGTCGTTGTTAGGCAGCTCTATCGGGACTGAAGATGGCAGCCGCCATTTGCAATTGTCTTAACTGAACATTTTAAAGTGTAAACTTGACATGTGGTGCTCAGATGAAACCTGTTCGTACATTATAGTGTCGGCCGATGTAGTACAGATGTAAGATAACCTGTATTACGTGAAAAGCAGCTGTTTGGCCCATTTTATTGGTTAAATGTCGTCTTGCAGCACAGCCTGTAACCCTACATACACTTGGAGTTCGATGTGTCAAAGGGCCGAGGCCGAGTGACATACTGTAGCTGTCAGAAGTCGTAAATTGTGGTTTTTTGAACGTAGCCGTCGGCGTACATTTAACTGAGCCTAGCTTTCGTTTTTCTTTTTCAGCTCGGGAGGACATAATTCGCTATTATGGCACTCCTGCGGCTGTGAGTTTGTGGCCGTCTCAGGATGAGGAGTCCGACTGTGTATGTATAATTTTACATGCCCACCCTGTAAATTCTTCCGTCTAGTATAGCTGATTTGTTGCACATTAAGTCTGCCCAGTCCCTTTAATAAACTGTGATTCGTTTTCTTTGCAAAAGTATCCCGTATTTCTGTCTGACCTGACTTCCTTTGTCCCTCCCTCCACCCCCTCGATGTGTAGCGTTCCCTGGCTGTGTCCCCTTCCCGTTGTCCCGACCCCCTGAGCGTCTTCACTCCGTTCTGGGCCCGCCCTGTCTACGGTGAGACGCTCCCCGCCCCCGTCACCATCAACCACGCTGATTACTATCCTGCCCCAAGTGACGATGATGACAGTGACTACTGGGTGTACGAGGACGAGGACGACCACAGCTTTGTGGATGACAGAGAGATTCATCCCTTTAGAAAGGCGCTGACGAGAGCGGCTGCCTTCTTTAGGAAGATCTTCTCTTAGACTCCTTTATCCTTTTAATGTCTGAATGTGTGCAAGTGAGTGAATGAATGAGCAGGTTTGTATGTATGTGTGCGTTTGTGTGAGAGTAAATATAAGATTGAATGAGCATGTGTGTGTGTGTGTGTGTGTGTGAGAGAGAGAGAGACAGAGACAGAGAGAGAGAGAGAGAGAGAGAGAGAGAGACTACCATTCCAGCGTATCTTTTGCGTATTATTAGGCTCACAGTTTTGGCCCAACTTTCAGTTTCCTTTTGGCAAACCTCTTGGCTTATTAGCATGGCACAAGACCATACTTTCTATACAATTTTGGCCCGTTTTTGGATCTCCCTTGAGGCATATTACTTTCGACTTTCGGTCATCTGAATAAATGTTTCTGTAATGTATACACAAGTTGTTTGTTTTCTCTACAGTGTTTCTTCCTTACAGCTAATAATATCTGGGTGACAGCAGCATCGCAATATTGGCATCTGCCCAAATCCCAGGGTTTCCGAAGATGAGACATAAATTCAGATGGATATTGTTAAAAAGTGAATGTTGCCCCTATATTGCTGTGCTGCTGTGTCCCAGTTTCATGATCTGCACTTAGCAGAAGAATTCTAAGTAGGTGGGGTTACCTTAAGATCAGACACTTCTAAATGTTTATGTGGCGACAATTGTGACACAGGATATTCTCTGAGGACAGCTCTCTGACACTTTGTTATCTGGAATACATTTTTTATTCCAATATAATAGCTCATTGTTTCTAATGTAACAATAACTGTGGCTTCCTTTTAAAGGAGTGCGAATGGAGAATTGCCTTCTCTAAAACACAAGTGTCGCCACATGGGATATATTACGAGCACTTCACCCAACTAATAGCAGTAGTCGGACAAGGGGTTGAGAGTGATCTCCCTTCGCCCCAGTCAATATTGGATTCCACTCGTCTCATCATTATGGCTTTACAGGAGTCGACCTCACTGCTGGTCCTTTGGCCCGTGGTCTTCAGATATTGCAGAGGGCATGCTTTTATACATAGGCCGAGGCCAGGCGCAAGTAGAAAGCCTATACTGACACCTACTCGTATGCAAGAGTAGATTGATGTATATATATATGACGTAATATTCGTATCTTGCATTCTACAAAAATACCTAAATAATACAAGGGGTCTGAATTCTACCCCTGTACGTCCACATCAGCGTTTTCAAAATGGGACGGTCAATAGGATTTCTCTGACTGTGAGTGTGTGGGTGGCTAGGATTTTTTCAGAAAATAAATATATTGTCTCCGAAATTGATTGAAAACTAATTATGCTTCCATCTGTTGGACAAAAAGAACATGTCAGCCACCAAAAATACGTTGTTGCAAGGTGGAATTTTGAAAAAATGTTTTATTTAGGCTCATAATTTTAGCTGATTTTGCATTTGTAGCTGAAAAATATCTAGTCTCCATACAAAATCCAAGGTCGCCCAATCCCCCTTCCAACAGAACATGAAATGGTCGGCCCCTTAGGCCTAGTATAGTAATAACCAATATGCTTGTCATTTATCTTTCTCTCCTATTAGCTATTTTCTGTGGTCGTCGTTTTTCCAGATTAGAAATCAAACCAAATAAGAACTGTCGCTGCACACGTTGGTATTTACTAGTACCATTTAACTTTTATTTTATCCCTGTAGGCTAGGTAATAATTCCCCAATCCCACTTGGATTATCAGAGATGGGCATTCTTACTAGCCTGCTAGCCCGTGTCAGTCTGTCGAATGTAAAAGGTATTGTGAAGGCTGGTATAATAGAGGGTCGTTATATGGTATTGCTATTCGGCCTAGCAAACGTTTAAGGTTAATGTCTACAAGAGATGATCCATATCAAAGTGAACAAAATTCACCCTGTTTCGAGTAATGGAGGCACGAAAAACACCCAGTTTCACCTGCACAATGTTTTCAAACTGATGTAGGCAACGTTTCAGTTGTAAGTTACAACTTAATCCCGGTGTTCAGACGAAATAAACCCGGCAGTTTCACCCTCGGCAATGCCATTAGGCTTTACCACGCCGGAAGCTGACGATGAGCCTCGTTCTGACTCCTCGAACTCCGTAACGTAGTTACCGTTGCCGTTATCGACGTCCCTTCTGTTTTCAACAGAAAAACGATCGCTTTTGCTCCGCTGACCTCTACGTTTTGCTAACTGCTGTATCATTCCAAGTGTTTCTTCTTCCAAGATGAATACAAGGCTTCACATTCAAGGTATCTAAGATCACAATTATTCCACTTAACAGTATTAAGATGTTAAATTAGACGTGAAATTGGTCGTTGTTAGGCAGCTCTATCGGGACTGAAGATGGCAGCCGCCATTTGCAATTGTCTTAACTGAACATTTTAGAGTGTAAACTTGACATGTGGTGCTCAGATGAAACCTGTTCGTACATTATAGTGTCGGCCGATGTAGTACAGATGTAAGATAACCTGTATTACGTGAAAAGCAGCTGTTTGGCCCATTTTATTGGTTAAATGTCATCTTGCAGCACAGCCTGTAACCCAACATACACTTGGAGTTCGATGTGTCAAAGGGCCGAGGCCGAGTGACATACTGTAGCTGTCAGAAGTCGTAAATTGTGATTTTTTGAACGTAGCCGTCGGCGTACATTTAACTGAGCCTAGCTTTCGTTTTTCTTTTTCAGCTCGGGAGGACATAATTCGCTATTATGGCACTCCTGCGGCTGTGAGTTTGTGGCCGTCTCAGGATGAGGAGTCCGACTGTGTATGTATAATTTTACATGCCCACCCTGTAAATTCTTCCGTCTAGTATAGCTGATTTGTTGCACATTAAGTCTGCCCAGTCCCTTTAATAAACTGTGATTCGTTTTCTTTGCAAAAGTATCCCGTATTTCTGTCTTACCTGACTTCCTTTGTCCCTCCCTCCACCCCCTCGATGTGTAGCGTTCCCTGGCCGTGTCCCCTTCCCGTTGTCCCGACCCCCTGAGCGTCTTCACTCCGTTCTGGGCCCGCCCTGTCTACGGTGAGACGCTCCCCGCCCCCGTCACCATCAACCACGCTGATTACTATCCTGCCCCAAGTGACGATGATGACAGTGACTACTGGGTGTACGAGGACGAGGACGACCACAACTTTGTGGATGACAGAGAGATTCATCCCTTTAGAAAGGCGCTGACGAGAGCGGCTGCCTTCTTTAGGAAGATCTTCTCTTAGACTCCTTTATCCTTTTAATGTCTGAATGTGTGCAAGTGAGTGAATGAATGAGCAGGTTTGTATGAATGTGTGCGTTTGTGTTAGAGTAAATAGAAGATTGAATGAGCATGTGTGTGTGTGTGTGTGTGTGAGAGAGAGAGAGAGAGAGAGACAGAGAGAGAGAGACTGAATGAATATGTATGTTTGTGTGTGTGTATTGTGTGCGTGTAAGAGTAAATGAAAGATTGAATTATCATGTCTGTCTGTATGCATGTATGTGTGTATGTGTGTGTGAGTGTTTGTGTGTGAGTGTGAGAGAGTGAATGAGCATGTATGTATGATGTGTGTATGTATGTGTGAGAGGGAGAGTGTATATTGTGTATATATGTTAGAGATGAGAGCTGGAGTGAATAAACGAGCCTACATGTATGTGTGTATTAGAGAGAGAGAGAGAGAGAGAGAGAGAGAGAGAGAGAGAGAGACTACCATTCCAGCGTATTTTTGGCGTATTTTTAGGCTCCCAGTTTTGGCCCAACTTTCAGTTTCCTTTTGGCAAACCTCTTGGCTTATTAGCATGGCACAAGACCATACTTTCTATACAATTTTGGCCCGTTTTTGGATCTCCCTTGAGGCATATTACTTTCGACTTTCGGTCATCTGAATAAATGTTTCTGTAATGTATACACAAGTTGTTTGTTTTCTCTACAGTGTTTCTTCCTTACAGCTAATAATATCTGGGTGACAGCAGCATCGCAATATTGGCATCTGCCCAAATCCCAGGGTTTCCGAACATGAGACATAAATTCAGATGGATATTGTTAAAAAGTGAATGTTGCCCCTATATTGCTGTGCTGCTGTGTCCCAGTTTCATGATCTGCACTTAGCAGAAGATTTCTAAGTAGGTGGGGTTACCTTAAGATCAGACACTTCTAAATGTTTATGTGGCGACAATTGTGACACAGGATATTCTCTGAGGACAGCTCTCTGACACTTTGTTATCTGGAATAATTTTTTTATTCCAATATAATAGCTCATTGTTTCTAATGTAACAATAACTGTGGCTTCCTTTTAAAGGAGTGCGAATGGAGAATTGCCTTCTCTAAAACACAAGTGTCGCCACATGGGATATATTACGAGCACTTCACCCAACTAATAGCAGTAGTCGGACAAGGGGTTGAGAGTGATCTCCCTTCGCCCCAGTCAATATTGGATTCCACTCGTCTCATCATTATGGCTTTACAGGAGTCGACCTCACTGCTGGTCCTTTGGCCCGTGGTCTTCAGATATTGCAGAGGGCATGCTTTTATACATAGGCCGAGGCCAGGCGCAAGTAGAAAGCCTATACTGACACCTACTCGTATGCAAGAGTAGATTGATGTATATATATATGACGTAATATTCGTATCTTGCATTCTACAAAAATACCTAAATAATACAAGGGGTCTGAATTCTACCCCTGTACGTCCACATCAGCGTTTTCAAAATGGGACGGTCAATAGGATTTCTCTGACTGTGAGTGTGTGGGTGGCTAGGATTTTTTCAGAAAATAAATAGATTGTCTCCGAAATTGATTGAAAACTAATTATGCTTCCATCTGTTGGACAAAAAGAACATGTCAGCCACCAAAAATACGTTGTTGCAAGGTGGAATTTTGAAAAAATGTTTTATTTAGGCATATAATTTTAGCTGATTTTGCATTTGTAGCTGAAAATATCTAGTCTCCATACAAAATCCAAGGTCGCCCACTCCCCCTTCCAACAGAACATGAAATGGTCGGCCCCTTAGGCCTAGTATAGTAATAACCAATATGCTTGTCATTTATCTTTCTCTCCTATTAGCTATTTTCTGTGGTCGTCGTTTTTCCAGATTAGAAATCAAACCAAATAAGAACTGTCGCTGCACACGTTGGTATTTACCAGTACCATTTAACTTTTATTTTATCCCTGTAGGCTAGGTAATAATTCCCCAATCCCACTTGGATTATCAGAGATGGGCATTCTTACTAGCCTGCTAGCCCGTGTCAGTCTGTCGAATGTAAAAGGTATTGTGAAGGCTGGTATAATAGAGGGTCGTTATATGGTATTGCTATTCGGCCTAGCAAACGTTTAAGGTTAATGTCTACAAGAGATGATCCATATCAAAGTGAACAAAATTCACCCTGTTTCGAGTAATGGAGGCACGAAAAACACCCAGTTTCACCAGCACAATGTTTTCAAACTGATGTAGGCAACGTTTCAGTTGTAAGTTACAACTTAATCCCGGTGTTCAGACGAAATAAACCCGGCAGTTTCACCCTCGGCAATGCCATTAGGCTTTACCACGCCGGAAGCTGACGATGAGCCTCGTTCTGACTCCTCGAACTCCGTAACGTAGTTACCGTTGCCGTTATCGACGTCCCTTCTGTTTTCAACAGAAAAACGATCGCTTTTGCTCCGCTGACCTCTACGTTTTGCTCACTGCTGTATCATTCCAAGTGTTTCTTCTTCCAAGATGAATACAAGGCTTCACATTCAAGGTATTTAAGATCACAATTATTCCACTTAACAGTATTAAGATGTTAAATTAGACGTGAAATTGGTCGTTGTTAGGCAGCTCTATCGGGACTGAAGATGGCAGCCGCCATTTGCAATTGTCTTAACTGAACATTTTAGAGTGTAAACTTGACATGTGGTGCTCAGATGAAACCTGTTCGTACATTATAGTGTCGGCCGATGTAGTACAGATGTAAGATAACCTGTATTACGTGAAAAGCAGCTGTTTGGCCCATTTTATTGGTTAAATGTCGTCTTGCAGCACAGCCTGTAACCCTACATACACTTGGAGTTCGATGTGTCAAAGGGCCGAGGCCGAGTGACATACTGTAGCTGTCAGAAGTCGTAAATTGTGATTTTTTGAACGTAGCCGTCGGCGTACATTTAACTGAGCCTAGCTTTCGTTTTTCTTTTTCAGCTCGGGAGGACATAATTTGCTATTATGGCACTCCTGCGGCTGTGAGTTTGTGGCCGTCTCAGGATGAGGAGTCCGACTGTGTATGTATAATTTTACATGCCCACCCTGTAAATTCTTCCGTCTAGTATAGCTGATTTGTTGCACATTCAGTCTGCCCAGTCCCTATAATAAACTGTGATTCGTTTTCTTTGCAAAAGTATCCCGTATTTCTGTCTGACCTGACTTCCTTTGTCCCTCCCTCCACCCCCTCGATGTGTAGCGTTCCCTGGCTGTGTCCCCTTCCCGTTGTCCCGACCCCCTGAGCGTCTTCACTCCGTTCTGGGCCCGCCCTGTCTACGGTGAGACGCTCCCCGCCCCCGTCACCATCAACCACGCTGATTACTATCCTGCCCCAAGTGACGATGATGACAGTGACTACTGGGTGTACGAGGACGAGGACGACCACAGCTTCGTGGATGACAGAGAGATTCATCCCTTTAGAAAGGCGCTGACGAGAGCGGCTGCCTTCTTTAGGAAGATCTTCTCTTAGACTCCTTTATCCTTTTAATGTCTGAATGTGTGCAAGTGAGTGAATGAATGAGCAGGTTTGTATGTATGTGTGCGTTTGTGTGAGAGTAAATATAAGATTGAATGAGCATGTGTGTGTGTGTGTGTGTGTGTGTGAGAGAGAGAGACAGAGAGACAGAGAGAGAGAGAGAGACTGAATGAATATGTATGTTTGTGTGTGTGTATTGTGTGCGTGTAAGAGTAAATGAAAGATTGAATTATCATGTCTGTCTGTATGCATGCATGTGTGTATGTGTGTGTGAGTGTTTGTGTGTGAGTGTGAGAGAGTGAATGAGCATGTATGTATGATGTGTGTATGTATGTGTGAGAGGGAGAGTGTATATTGTGTATATATGTTAGAGATGAGAGCTGGAGTGAATAAACGAGCCTACATGTATGTGTGTATTAGAGAGAGAGAGAGAGAGAGAGAGAGAGAAAGAGAGAGAGAGAGAGAGAGAGAGAGAGAGAGAGAGAGAGAGAGAGAGAGAGAGAGACTACCATTCCAGCGTATTTTTGGCGTATTTTTAGGCTCCCAGTTTTGGCCCAACTTTCAGTTTCCTTTTGGCAAACCTCTTGGCTTATTAGCATGGCACAAGACCATACTTTCTATACAATTTTGGCCCGTTTTTGGATCTCCCTTGAGGCATATTACTTTCGACTTTCGGTCATCTGAATAAATGTTTCTGTAATGTATACACAAGTTGTTTGTTTTCTCTACAGTGTTTCTTCCTTACAGCTAATAATATCTGGGTGACAGCAGCATCGCAATATTGGCATCTGCCCAAATCCCAGGGTTTCCGAACATGAGACATAAATTCAGATGGATATTGTTAAAAAGTGAATGTTGCCCCTATATTGCTGTGCTGCTGTGTCCCAGTTTCATGATCTGCACTTAGCAGAAGATTTCTAAGTAGGTGGGGTTACCTTAAGATCAGACACTTCTAAATGTTTATGTGGCGACAATTGTGACACGGGATATTCTCTGAGGACAGCTCTCTGACACTTTGTTATCTGGAATAATTTTTTTATTCCAATATAATAGCTCATTGTTTCTAATGTAACAATAACTGTGGCTTCCTTTTAAAGGATTGCGAATGGAGAATTGCCTTCTCTAAAACACAAGTGTCGCCACATGGGATATATTACGAGCACTTCACCCAACTAATAGCAGTAGTCGGACAAGGGGTTGAGAGTGATCTCCCTTCGCCCCAGTCAATATTGGATTCCACTCGTCTCATCATTATGGCTTTACAGGAGTCGACCTCACTGCTGGTCCTTTGGCCCGTGGTCTTCAGATATTGCAGAGGGCATGCTTTTATACATAGGCCGAGGCCAGTTGCAAGTAGAAAGCCTATACTGACACCTACTCGTATGCAAGAGTAGATTGATGTATATATATATATGACGTAATATTCGTATCTTGCATTCTACAAA